AAAAATCGAAGGACGCAAAAGGAACGTGTCGCGATTCCGAGATGTCGCGACGGCTTAGTCTTCGCCTCGTCGCGTCGTATTTTTCTATCCTCTCTCTCTCTCGCTTCTCCTCTTCCTTCTCCGTTCGCTTCTTCCTTTTGCGTTGCTCTTGTCTTTGACAATGGAGTTGTCAGCGCTTTCGAATTTACGCGATGAACTCAGGGAAAAATCGACAAAAACTCGCTGCCCGTCGTCGAGGAAACAAGACGAGCGCGACTTCTCTCGTCGCGCTAGGCTCCCTCCGCGTCCTCTATAAGGACAGTAGGCGCGCCGGAAGGTGCGATGCATGGCCGAAATGTGTTTATTCGCGTTAACACGCTGCTGCTACTGCCGCTGCCGAATCGTTGTATATAGCACACGGCTGTGTGCGAGTGTATGCAAAGAGAGCGAAAGGCGGGGGACGGGGAGGGGGGAGGCTAGAGAACGAAATGAACAGGGAGGTAGTGCACACGCGCTAATTAATATTTACCCTCCGACAACATCGCACCCGCCAACTGCACGCTCCACACTCGCGAGGGCAGCGCGCCCGTAATGAACGCCCGGCCGAATGCTTTAATTATTTCCTATAACGCTGCGAGCATGTTTCGCTGCTGCTCCATCGTCGCGCTGTCCTCCTTGTTTTTGCGAACTTTGTTTTGCCCGTTAAGTCGTCCGAACTGCTTCCTCTTTTCGCTCGTTTTTCAAGCTTTTGCTCGTAAACAACGACGACGTTGAAATTCGTAAAGCTGGCGCGATGACCGACGTTTGAGAATGCAAGTCGCGAACGGCAAGTCTTTTTTCTTTCGATAGGTTATGTGCCCAGCGCGCACTGAATTCAGCCACTACTACAATGACTTCTGAAAAATTCTACGTCTTGCTTCGTTAGATTTAGCTTCCCGAACTACCCTTAGAATATGATACCTGGTGCAACTGTGATCCCTTCAACGCTTAATCCAAAAGAAGCTGAAAATTAATCGCCAATAACGAGAACCGAAAGAATGCAACGGCAAAAATATTTTTTTTAAATTATGAAAGTAAAATAAGCAAAAGCTGACAAATCCTAGCTGGCGCGTTGCGGCGGCGACGAGGCAAGCGGCAACCTATGCTGGCTGATCTCTCGGTCTGACTCTCTCCCCCTACCTCACTGGCTTTGAGGAAGCCTTTGGTTGTGCTGTGTGTAGTAACGCAGGTGGGGATGACACGAACCGCCTCTAGGAACGCCCTTCCAACGCTCTCACACAGACACGGGCACGCGCGCGCGCACGCACGCACGCACGCACGCACATGCACGCACGCACACACTGGCTCGCTCGCTCCCCTTCGTGCTCTCTCCTCTGTCGTCGTTCGTCGTCGTCGTCGTCGTTGTCGTCGTCGTCGCCGTCGCCGCGCTAACGAAATAAAACCAACTGTGCGCGCAGAGCAAAGATGGAAGTGACGCTCGCCGGCGCTGGTTAATTCACGCGCGGTTGATTGAAAACGAGTATGACAAAAGGTAAAAAAAAGCAACAGCAGCGACAACGGCAGTCCTCAGCAGACTCGCGAGCGTCTTGATCACCGTCGACTGCGAGGCTTCAAAAAGAAGCAACTTCAAAGAACTTTAAGTGAAAGTTTCGCGCAAGAGGGCACGTACAAACACGCGCGAGACAACCGCGTGCGAAGGCATATTAATGAATATTAACGAGTTAGCGTGCAAGTGTTTGTTATCTCTCTCTCTCTCTCTCTCTCTCTCTTTTTTTTTATTTCTGGAAGCTTCTTCCTTCGCTTGGCATTTTTCGTGTATTTGGCTCTTCCGACATGTGATAAAAAATAAATACATATGTATTTGCCGCGTTTGGAGATGCTAGGGCTTTCAGAGCGATTGAAACGTTGTGTCCGAATTGAAGTTGATCTCTCCCCCTGGCGAAAGCTGTGCGGATAGACTGATCGCTCGACCCCGAGGAAAAAAATAGAGGGGAAAAGAGAAAGATCGCTTTACTCTCTCTCTCTTTGGTAGTTCGATTCTATTAAGCCGTGTGTGTGTGTGTGTGTGTGTGTGTGTGTGTGTGTGTGTGTGTGTGTGTATGCGCGCGCGCGTGCGTATGTGTGTGTGTGTACAACGCCCACCCTTCGTCTGCTTTCGATGCGCGTGTGTGAGCTTTACCCTAATGCCCGTTACGCCCCATGCTTTCGCGTCTTTATATCTTCTGCGGCAATGATGGATTTTCCTTTTGTTTTGACCGTCGTTCATACAGATTTTCATTACTCCAAACGTAACAACAAACAAACATTTTCCGTTCGTCTGGTTGTCCACGAAATAACACCTTGTTTACGCGAGGAGCGCGCGCGTCGAAAAAGCTCGCGCCGAAGAAGACGCAATTCCCTCGATATCCATTTCGGACTCTCGCTTGCGCGCATCGAGAATCGGGAAGGAGTCAAAGGGGCGAGCGAACGATATCCTCGGTGGAATACAAAAAAGCATCCCTTACTCCCTCCTCTCTCATCTCATCTGGAAGATAAAGATCGTATATATAGCGGAAGCGCGGCGTAACCGAGAATCGCGCCGAGGGAGCTAAATAAAAATGAAATGGTGGGCGAGAAAAAGCCGTGCGTACGAAAAGTCGTATATACTTGTTCTTTGCTTTTTGTTTGCTTTGCCGAGCCACTTTTTCGCGTGTTTATTTTTTCCTTCGCTCGTGACGTCGCGTCGCGACTGCGAGTGTCTTGGTTTTTACGAATTGATCGACGAAGGATTGTCGCAGAAACGCAACCTCGAAAAGTCCGAGGAGGCCTTCGACTAGAAAAACTGCCGGCCATACGTTCAGCCAGCGAGGAGCGCGTGCGCCTCCAGTCGACCAACATTGCCAGCGGCGCACTTACAAGCCTTACGACGAAATCGCGTGAGCCGGGCCGTGTACGTGTAGCCCCCTCCCCCCTCCTCGGTTCGCTGCTCGTTGGTGGCCATTTTGCGCACTCGCCCGCGCTCTGTAACACAGCCATCCGCGCGAATCCGCGTTGGTCGAGCTGTTGCGCGCGAGTCGCAGGCGCTCTGCTCGGCCGAATATTCGACCGCTCGCTCGACTCCGTCATTAGGCGCGAGACGACGACGCCTAATGGGCGCATACATTGGACTCGCGTACACGAGCGCCGACCGCGCAGCGCTGCGTATGTACGCAAGATAGTTGTCCTCGTCGAAGATCGTGCCGTTCTTTTACGTTATTTTTCTTTCGGCGAAGCAAAGTGAGCGCGTGAGAAACGCCGGATCGGAGACTCACGCGCGAGTGGAATCTTAATGGGGGGCATTGTGGAACGAGCGCAAAGTATATTTGCGGACGATTCATCGGCCATGCGTGAGAATCGCTGTACTCGTTTGACTTTCGTCCGACACCTCGCTACCGCACGGCACTCCGAGCGCGAGCGACGCGCGAACAGCCAAGTCCAAGCCGCGACAGCGTCGGACGTTCATCGGACGCGCGGCAATGTAAAGCCTTGGAAAAGCCCACTAGCCGACGCTCGCCAGTGAAACTAGCCTACTAGCACGCGACCGCTGCCGGCAAACGATGGCGCTGAGCGATAGGCTTCTGCTTTTTGCCTCGCCTCGCCCAAATGAGGTTGGCGCCGCGGCTTTTCGTCACCTCTCTCTCTCTCTCTCCGTAGAGACGAGAGCGTGTACAAGTAGCGGCCTCTCGATCCCGATTTTTTCTTTCTCCTCTTGCTCTATAACGCCTCGAGTGGTCGCGCGCTATCTGATCAGCCGGCGCGCGGAGCTTCTTGACTCGGAAGCTGCGCCGTGCGCGGGCGAGGCCGCGAGACTGGCGCTGGCTCCCGGAAAAGTCGCTCGCGCGCGATAGACAGCGCGGCTTCGCCGGCGGCGCCAGGGAGGAAGGAAGACAGCGAGCAGGAGGCGAAGGCAAGCGAGGCTCGCCCGCGGGCATTCCCCGAGCTTAATCGAATCGCCTCTCCACCGAGACTCGCTGCTTCCCAGCGAGAGCGCAGCGAACTCGAGGCTTTGCGGATTATTAGCTCGGCGAGACAGGGATACGCGCGCCGCAACTGTTGCTCTCACCGCGAATCTATTTTTTTTTTCGCAACTGCGATGCACCGCTTCAAAAGAGTAAGAACGAACGCTTTTTTTTGGCAAGCGTGTGTGTGTGTGCGTGTGCAGTTCTCTCTCTCTCTCTCTCTCTCTCTCTCTCGGCGTCTTAGCCGGCTTTAAAGAAAGCCTGCGTGCGCTTATTGTGAGAGCGGCCTTTTGAAAGGAGCCGGTCTTTGCTGCCGCCGCTGCTGCTGCTGCTGCTGCTGGACCGGTAAAGAGGGGCCTGCATACTGCGCGCTTATTTTTTTTTCTCTCTGTCTCTCTCTTACCCTTTTTTTACCCCCTCCATGCCGAGAGAACTCCGTGTGTCGCCAGGTGAAAACCGCCGGCTTATGCGTGCGTGCATCGACGGGTACGTTACGCGAGGATATGCGCTTAATTTACAGAGCGGAGGCTCGGCTCTCGTTGAGCTCTGTTTTTTTTTTCCATCTCGCGACGACCGTTTCCTACGATATTTTCATCGCGAGGCGCGAGCTGCGAAATCACCGTCGCGATATTCGCGAGCGAATCGAAGCGCAGCGCTCGATTGAAAAGGTCGCGTACTGCGCGCACAGAAGCTCGCCCGCAGAAGCGAAAAGAAAAGAGAGTGCGCGCGCGCCTGGAGAGAGAGAGAGAGAGAGAGAGAGAGAGAGAGAGAGCGCGCGACAAAGGCTTATAATGCGAGAGAGCGGGCCATTGACTAGATTTCTCCGTGTGCGCATGTGTCTAAGGCTCTCTCATCGAAAGGTGCCGCGCACTTTGCTCAACGGTTTACATGCACGCGCGCGTGTACGTGTGTGTGTGTGTGTGTGTGTGTGTGTGTGTGTGTGTGTGTGTGTGTTTGCGCGTGTAGCTTATAACATAGCTTACGATTAATAATAATAAATAAAGATAATTGGTTGGAATTTGGCGTTATACGTACAGTACTTACAAAGCCGTGCTTGTCGCTGATGTTGTTGGTAAGCTTGAGCTTGTGGAAACTCACGACTTTTTGCATCCACTGCTCACCGCTGCTCGGCGAGTCCGGGTGTATGTACATTCGCTTTGGCATCTCCGGGTCCGCCTTGCCGGCGACCATCCACCTGCTGCTCGACAAAGTCACCGAATTAGCGCTGCGTTCCTCTTCGCCTTGGCCTCGACTAGCTGTGTAGTCGGGCTCTGTCGCGCACCGAGATTGATTCAATTGAAGGCCTTCCCCCTGGCGCGTAATAGTCGCGAACACTGCCCGCCTCCCGGAGCCCGAAGTGTCATCTCACCCGAGCAAACATGAGCGCACCGACGGACTGGATGCGCGCCTCTCTCTCTCTCTCTCTCTCTCTCTCTCTCTCTCTCTCTCTGTACACTCTGGCTCTGGGATTACATGTTTGTCGTCGTCTCCCCAGTGCGCGCCTGTGACCGAGACACAGAGAGGGAGAGATGGCATTGCAAAGCTTCCGACCCCTCGCGTATTAGCAGATAAAGACTTGGATATTGCTCTATGCGATTCCACTCGAGCGTGAACGTTATCTCGGCCGCGAATGTTTCGCTTACCTATTGTGAAATTTGTATCTGTAGTCATCGGCCGCCACAATGTCCAGCAGCAGTATGTACTTGGCTTTGGCGTCTAACCCCGACACTCTGAACTTCATTTGCGGAAACATTTGCCTGCAATGCAAAACAAATTAAGGTCAATGAACATTCGTAGCGTAGCCGTTGAGGAGTGCAGCAACGTCTGAGGGACCTTTTCAAGGGATTCGAACGAAAATGCGTTATTGTTCTTCGTTCGTTTCAAAGACTAATTAACGACAGTTTCAATGGGTTTCCTTGCGACTCGAGTCAAACGAAAACTGCCGTTCGTTAATTTGCGTCGCTCAAGACGCACCATTTCGCCAAGCTAAAATTTAAGCTTTCGCTTTTAGAAGCCAATTGACATTATCAACCCAACCTCCTTCGAAAACGTGACTCGGCTGAGGTCGCCCAAGATGGCGCCAAAGTCGCAATGAAGACACGCCACCGCGAAAGCCATGCGGGAAAAAACCGAGTCGAGCAAACCCCATCAATCTTCCTCCTTTTCCCGGCAGCGGACTCCCGGACTGGAAGGGAAAAACGAGCGCGATGAACTCTCACACATATACCGGGCGAACGCGAACGAGTGCAGGTTAGATATTACTCTCCTCGAAAGCAAGAAAAAAAAGACAAGACCAAAAATCAATATACCAGGAGTTACCGCTGTCGTTGGGTGCACTCTCGTTTTCCCAAGACGAGAGAGGCCACGAGTCGATAAAAATTCTGCGGCATGAGCTGGCACAAGTTGGCGAAATGGCAAAATTACTCTATCTCTCTCTCTCTCTCTCTCTCTCTCTCTCTCTCTCGCCATTAGATGGGACTTTCGCGCGCGAAGCAATCGCACACATCGCGCGCACCAGCCGAGAATACCGCGCGGCAAATCGTCGGCTTGCCAAATGCCGAGCACGCTTGCTATTTTTCTGCCAGCCAGCGGATTTATTCCCGTTGGTAAGCGCGTCGATTGTTGCGTCATGATGCCGTTGATCGCGCGCGGAAAATTGAATTTGGACGTTGGAACGGCAAGCAGCTCGGAGTCGACGAATTTCCGACTGCTATTCGAACCAATTTTTCGCATCGGGCGACAGCACCGAGACCGAGGTGCTGGGAAGCGCTCGCGCGGTCAGTCGGGCATTTTTCGCGAGATGAAAACCGCCTAACCTTCAAAGTCGCTCGCAGAATGTGCGTTTGCCGTTTTCCGCAACGCGCCAACTGCCGTTTGCAGGGCTGTCCCGCCTCTGAATGCGATCCATCTCCCGATTTCTCGCTTCATTCGTTCCGCTTAGTCCACTGCTAGCCAATCTCTTCAAATAATATTATAATAACTCGTGCACTCCACTGATTTAAGTATCGCGGAAAGAAAGTTTTGGCCGTTATCAGTGAATTACGATTGGCGCAAAAAAGAAATAAAGAAAAAGCCAGTAGCTGAGAAAAAGTAATTGCGAGTTTTCTTTTTTCCAACGAATTATAAATATCCGCAGAACAACAGTAATTCAAGTATTCTTTTTTTCGGCCCGCCGTGCTTTCTCCTTCAATCTGGCATAAATTACAGCCAGCATTGTGCAACTGCGTTTAGCGAGCGCGGAGAAAATACAGATTTTCACGTGCAGTCCCACGCCGCTCGGATGTTTCGATTGAAAGCGCAGACGCTTCCTCGTTTGCCGGCAACGAGTCATGTTTTTTTCCGCGAACAAGAACGACGGAAGAGAAAAATGAGCGTTCTCGTCGCTGCGCCAATTGTTAGCCATCAGTCAAGAGCTTTCGCGCCTCTCGGTCAAAGGGTCGGCGGCAGATTAGCGCGAATCATACGTAATATCGACGAGAGACGGAGGTTAAGATGCAAGTTGACATTGATTCCCATGAGAGAGAGAGAGAGAGAGAGAGAGAGAGAGAGAGAGAGAGAGAGACCACCCATGGTTGAAAAGTCGGGTCCCGGCGACGCGGCCACTTTAATGAGGGATTCTTCGAACGAGTGGCTGTCTCCAACTGGTCTTGCGCAACTGGCTCGCATGAATTTTTACAAGGCATCGTTAGCGACGATCAAATGAAATTAGAACGAGGAGCGAGCCGCCGCTCCGTGTGTTTGTTGAGAGGCTCTCTCGAGAAAGCGAGAGCGCGCTCTCGCCATTAGCGTGTTTTTTTCCTTTTTTTGCCACTTTTATCTACGTCGATTTGGCATACCTGTGCGCCTATAAATCATCCGCGGGCGCACCGATGCCGATGGACTTTTCCTGCGCGCACCGAAAGTCGTAAACTCAAAATAGATAAAGAGAAAAAATAAAACGGCCGGCCTTTTCGGCCTCCAAAGCAGCAGCGACCAATTACGGTAATGAGCCGGCGTGACGATGGTTACCGCGCAGGATTTCCCGACATTTCCTAAGTTCGTTATTTTCCCATTTTCGTTGCGCAAACTCGCGGCCAACGTTCAGCTCGAGTCGGCGATTAACGGAAGAACTTGTGCGTACCTGAGCCGAGTCAAGGATTTTCCGTTTTCGGTGGGGATCCTTGTTTATGGGCGGGCAGCGGAGGATCGGTTACAGGACGAAAAAGGGCACTCCGAGGAGCCACTCGATGACTATTTATGACTGTCGATTATGATGTATTGTCCGCGATCCCAGAGGCTGATATTGATATAGACTAAAGAGCACGCGGCCGGACGACCGCTAAGATTTTCGCCCAGATCACTATCGCTTGGCTTTTAACTTTTACCTTTTTCCTTGGCCGTTTTCCCCTCGGGAAACGCTTTCTCGAGCCAACGACTCGGGCCAGGAGCGCGGCAACGACAATTGCTTCGATCTGGAAGCGATCCGAGGCCTTGGCGATGCAAGCCGGCAAAAAATAAATTTCGGGAAAAAATTGGAAGGAAGATCGGGACGAGAGCGGCGCATCGCGTTTGCCCAGGAGGTCGAGAGCAGCGAACGCGCACTCGAGCGTTCCGATGGAAAAGAAAGCCCGAGCGCGAAACGAGAAATGGGGCAAAACCACAAGAGAAGAGGATGGCACTCAACCTGCGCACTTCCTTCCTTTGCGTCCGTCGTCACAGCGTGACGTCGGCCGGGAGACGAGCGAAAAAAAGAAGCAGCGGAGGAAGGGCCGAGCGGCGCCACGGGGTTTTCGCCCATCTGCCTACTGTCCGCTCTCGTGAAAGCGAGCCCCGGAAAATCCGTGGCGCGCATTAGGCCGCGGATTAGCCCCCGTAGGGACTCGTGTCGACGACCGCGCCACGGGTCCCGATAGGCGAGTCGCTCGAGATCGACCAGGCGGCTCGGCGCGCAATAATCCGCTGCCGGCCGTCGAGTAAAAACGCGCTGTTTATCGGCGCCGCGCGGGGTCAATTTATCGCTCGCCGATCTCGCGACGCGATAGCGCGTGCGCGCGAGGGATTAACGTTAAGTAGTTGTATTTACGAGGCAAGAGAGCGACGCGCCGGAGACGGGCGCTGGCGCGCGAACGAGGGAGTCGCCGGCGCGCAATTTTAATAAGCCGATAGCCGCCGTCGAGATCGATCTTCGCGCGCGCCTAACGAACGATTTGTTTAATAAATAAACGCTCGTTTCCTGCCTCGGCCGGCGACAATATAAGTCAGGGGCCGCGGCGCTCGTAAAGGGCCCCCGCGTAACGAGCGGCCGTAAATATCAATCGGCGGCGCGTAAATTGCCCAGGCCAACGGTAGCCGCGCCTCCCGAACTTTCGTCGCGCCGGATTGACACGTCGCTGCGCGCTCTCGTTCCCGGCGCAGGCGGAACGGCGGCGGCGGCGTCGGCGGCGGCGGGGAGGTGGAGGCGCGGAGAAATCGCGAGAGTCTGTCGAGCAAATCGCTACAAACGATCGGCCGGCGAGGGAGCGCCCGAGGAGGAGAGAGCAGTCGCGAACCTCGCAGATGAGCAGAGCCAGATAAGCCGCGGCCGGGGACCCCCCGTCGCGCGCCGCCGCGGAGCCCGGCCAGGACTTCTCGACTCGGCGGGAAAAGTCTCCGCGGCCGCAGATGCCATCGCTGCTTTTCTCCGCAGCGAATGCGCGCCGTCGCCGGCCACTCGAGCGCCTCGTATTTCTCTATTACAGCGATCGAGCACACCTGTGGCCGCTCGCTCGGCAACGGATTTGTTGGGCCGTCCGCTCGTAGCTTCTTTGTCTCGGACGTCGACGTCCGTAGAAGGATAGCGCTCGGCGTCCGGCGTCGAGGCGGAGAGGGAAGGCCGATCTAATCTGGGCGCGAGCGGACAATGCCGGAAAGATCGATCGGCGCGCGTTCGACTGCTTTTCGGCGCTCCAATTAGCGCGGGAGGCGCGTCCGTCGAGCGTGGCCGCACCGATGCATGATTAATTAATCGAGCGCGCGCTTGACAAGTGCAGCGTAACCTGTCGTTGCGTGGACCATTCCGGGAACTGGCGCGCGACAATTTGGCCCGAGAGCCGAAACGAAGGCACGGCCGAGAGGCAAGCCGAAAAAAGAGAGAGAGAAGACACGGGAGGAAAGAGAAACGCGCATATATTGTATTTAAATCGGTTTTCGGCGAGGAAGAAGGAGGCGAACGAAGAGATCCGATACCGCAGATTAGATTGACGATGATGAAAAGCACACGTACGCGCGCTCTCCTGATACATATGCGAAAGGCGCCTCGAGCGATATTTGAATTTCGGATTTGTCAATTCCTTTCTTCTTTCTCGCTCGCGCGTCGGCTCGCGCGTCGGCTCGCGCGTCGGCTCGCGAGGTGTCGCGCGCGAACTCGGCGACGACGCCCGAACAAACACTCGCGGAGGAGCTGTCGCCGGGCAAACATGTCTGCGTGCGTGCGGGCGACCAAGGCGAAACAAAGCCGCGCCGTGTGGCTTCGGAATAATAAAGACGTAGAGGCACCCGAGGAGAAGCCCGTGGCTGCAACAATGCGCGAAATTACACGGCGCGCGGAACTCCCAGCTCGCGAGACGAGGATTCGGGCAGCGCGCACCGCAAACGATTCTCCAGCATTTGGGCAATCAATTTCGCCGAGGAGAAGCGAGAGAGAGGGCCAGAGGGGAAGCGTCGTCCCAATCATCGCGCTGCGGGCTCGGCGTTTGCATAATTGAAAAGAGGGCAAAAAGGAAGGAAAAAAACGAGGCAACGGCAGCAGGAGGAAGGTCCTGCGCGTTAGCGTCTCGGACGGCAATTTCGCCGGGGAGAAGGTTCCTTCCAGCCTGGCGCCACTCGTTATTTATATCGGTGCGCTGCTGCTGCTGCTGCTGCTGCGCGCATGCCGGGCCGGAGAGCGCGGAGAAAGAAGGACAAGACCAAGAGGGAGGAGGGAGAGAGCGAGATTCTCCTTCGTTTTTTTCGGCGGGGCATCCTTATAAGCGCGCGTTTTTACGCCGAGCATGTAAACGCTCTCGATCGGGAGAGCGCCCACGGAGGCTCCTCGTCGGCGGGCGCGGGTCGCGGCGCGCTGTAATTTCGGCCGGGCCGGCCGGAGCGGCGCGCAGCTGTCGCGGCGGCGGCGGCGGCGGCGGCGGCGGCGGAGATCCGCCGAGGCCGATAGGCGCCGCGGGATGAAAATCGGCGTCGGCGGCGCTTTTCGACGAACCGATTGCATTTGCGACGCGGCCGAGCGGGGAAAGCCGGGCAAACAGCGCCGCGCAGCCGAGCGCGCGCCTCGGGAGGGAGCGGCAGGGGAGAGCGCGCTCGCACGCCATCGCCTCGCGCGCGCCGGGCATAGAAAGCTGCGCGCCCGAGAGGGCCAATTTCTCAATGCAAATACGAGCAGCAGCGCGGTGAAAAGCGAAGGGGTGCGCAAATAGAAAGCTGTTACCCGCTTGGGCGTGCGGGTGGCGCGCACATTCAACGCTTCGCAGCCGGCAGATCCGCGAAATGAAGCCTCGTTTTGCGCCTCGTGTACGCCGACGCGCGCGCCCACTGTCTCCCGTTATTTGCGCGCGGAGAAAAAGGGAAAGGCGCGAAGAATTATTCAAGGCACTCCGGGCCGAAAGAGAGAGCTGAAAGCT